AGTTCAAAAATTATTACTAAGAAGTGTAGTGGAGTATGATTTTTCTGCTCAAGAGACATGTTATTTCTTGCTTGGAATTCTTCTTTACCACTCAAGTTGCTTGTTTGTCATGTTGAATCTGAACAGGGAAGCGCCAAGGTAGATTCGAGATGCTGGTAGCAATGAAAATAATGACAGTATTGAAATTAAGAATACTGGTCAAACGTCACGCTCACCTTTAAAGATATACTGGGATCATTCTGCAGAATTAGAGAATCTCTTTTTATTTAAACTTTATTTGAGACATAAATTAAGTGGAAATAAATAGAGGAAATGTAATAAAGAAAATATTGTATGAATCTTTTCATGTCTTTCAGCCGTAATTAATGGCCCCCAATAGGAGGAGTTTTACTATATAAAAGTTCTTCTTCATGTTTGACATCGTAGTCTTGAAGATTTGATCAAAAACAATACTATTGTATAGTCAACTTTATATAATCAGCACCAAGAAGAGATTAATGAAGAACTGAACGATTTGCTTGAACAACCTATAAATAATGAAGAGGAGATAAATGATGATGAAAATAATGAAGAGCAAATTGAAGAAGATAAGGAGGAAGAATTCCAGGTTGACTGGATGCTTTTAGCAGAAATGGGCCCAGATGCTATTATTGATAGTTCATCTAACTTAGGATCTCATGATATAGACTAAAATTATAATTGAATTAATGATGCCAAGCATCAGTACTCTAAGAATGATCTTGCAAATGCCAATACTTTTGTACATCAAGCATCAAATTGTGACCAAATAGAAAGAAGCGATAAGTTTGATACGGTCAATTATAGAATGTTAAATAAAAATCAGATGATAGTATTTAAACAAATAGAATTATATTACCAGAATATACTTAAAAGATACTAGAAAGATCTATTAAGAATTATCATAATGGGAATGGCGAGAACAGGAAAATCGTATCTTATTAAAGCAATTAGATGTAGGCTCTGTGAGATGGCAGAAACTGGGTTCAAGACTCCCGTACTTGTGCTTGCACCAATAGGAGTTGTGGTATTTAATATTGATAAAATAACGATTTACTCAACACTTAGCATTCCAATAATTACAGGCAATAGTAGCTATCTTGATCTGGATAGAGAGAGGTTAAAAAAGCTACAAAAAAAATTAAAAGATGTGAATTATTTTATAATTGATGAGAAAAATATGGTTGGGCAGCGAATGTTAGCTTGTATTGATATAAGGTTAAGGCAAGCTTTTTCTAAGTACAACAATATATCTTTCGGAGATAGATCGATTATTATATTTGGTGACTTTGGACAACTCCTACCTGTACTTGATCTCCCTATGTACACTAATGATTTGTGAGACTCGCTATCTAATAATAGATATGTAGTATATATACAGTTTCGAGAAGTGTACAAGCTAAGAGTTATTCAAAGGCAATCTGGAAATTTAGAGAAACAAGAGGGATTTAGAGACATTCTTTTATGACTACAAAATAGAGAATCTACATTAGATGATTGGAAGATACTTATGAAATGATTTGAAGAAAAAATAACCAGACCAGAACGTAAGTGATTTTCAGAAGCTATGTTTCTTTCTCCAAAATGGTCTGAAGTAGACGCAATTAACATAGAAAAACTTAGATCATTAAATATTCCAGTTGCAAAAATTCTTGCAATATATATAGGTGGTAACGAAGCAAAGAGAGCTAACTCTGATATCGCACATGGTCTTAAAGCACAACTATTAGTGGCAAGAGAGGCTCAAATTATGCTGATGGCAAACATTTGGGTTAAAAAAGGATTAGTTAACGGTGCAATAGAAACTGTTCATGATATTTTATTCAGTGATCAAGAACCACCTTTTCTTCCCATAACAGTTTTTGTCAAGTTCGAGAACTACAAAAGACTGACAATCACAAGTAAAGACAGCACAAAAGTTGTCCCAATTACACCAATTCGATATACATGGGAAAGTAAAGCTAGAGTACTCCTTTCACAGCAACAGATCCCTATTCGACTCGCTTGGGCTATTACTATACATAAAAGTTAAAGACTTACAATAGAAGACGCTGTAATATCTATCAGCGATAAGAAGTTCGCTGCAGGGCTTTCTTTTGTAGCGTTATCTTGGATCTGTGCACTTACAGATCTATGTTTAAAACCGTTTAGTTTTGAAAGACTTCAGAGGATTAAGGACCTTAAAAGGGTTAGAAAAAGGAAGAATGAGAAAGAATGACTTATTTCTATAGTAGCAGAAAGGTAAAAAGAGGTAGATTAGTAACTATAAAATAACATTAAAAATATATTTCTATAGTGAAGTGATGCGTGATAAAAAAACCAAATAAAGACCAACTAGAAATAGCTAGCTGGAAGTGATTTA